TGACACACAAGGTTATTTCTGGTTTCTTTACATATTGCATGATATGAAGAAACTTGAATACGGTGAGGCCTGGGCTGTCCACACAGTTACATGACTCAAGCTTTCATGACACATCACTACACTTGTTCTGCACTCAATAACAAAGGCAGAGTTGGAAACTAAAGTTTTGCACCATACTGTAGGTACCCACCAACAGAGGAGCAGTGATATTTTGTGTGCATCTTTGTAGAGAACAGTCCTTGAACTCGTCTGTTTAGTTTGATAGGTGTGTGCTGCTGCATATCCTGTTTTACATATTCAAACAAACTGTTTGTCCTCGGGTGTAATTGTCAGCATCATGTTCTCTCTGCTGCCGTTTGATCAAGTTGGGTATTATCACCTTGAATAAATCAATATAAGGTAATATGACTGCGATACTGAGGTTGTCATCTGAGCTGGACTTCATTTTATTCTGCTTAGCTTTTTAAACAAACACAGCCTCTTCTCCCTAAAACTTGCATTGAGGGCTATTTTTGTAGTTTGCCAGTTTTCATTTCCAGACATTAAGAAATTTAAAGCAAATGAGCGTGAAGTGAAATGTAACGTGTTGCCTTCATTTGCCGTCTCAGCACAACATTGTGGCTACCAAAGGAAAAGCCACACAGGCAATCAGAGCTTTTCTCTCATGATTCTTGAGTTATCTGCTCTGTATCTTATTTGCTTCTTATGATATTCTCATTTACAGTTGTTACAGCACTTTTTTAAGAGCGCCGGTGAACGGTGCTTCTTTTCATGAGTTGAAAACACAACTAGGATGCAGATCAGTCATAGTTAGTTACTGGTGTAAAGTCTGTTCCTACACACGTGTTTCTGAGATGGAATGAACTACTGGGTTGTTTGCAGTTATCCAGAGCTGAAGCCTATTCAGTCCATCAACGCTCACCCGTCCAACTGCATCTGTATCGAGTTCGACCCCACAGGGAAGTACTTTGCCACAGGAAGTGCTGACGCCCTAGTCAGCCTGTGGGACGTGGAGGAGCTGGTGTGTGTCCGCTGCTTCTCCAGGTCAGTGTGTGGTTCTGATCACGTAGAATTTAATTTAAAATACGCTTTTTAAAACAGGTTTTTAGTATTTATGCATTGAACGCTGTATGTCATGGCATTAAATGTGACTCGCATCACTTAATTTAATTATAACCTGACTCTGACTCCGAGTGAGTCAGAGCTTTTACCGAGTCGTGGATTTCTTCTTACTGCTGCTGATGTTGCAGACTTGACTGGCCGGTGAGGACTCTGAGCTTCAGCCATGATGGCAAGATGTTGGCCTCAGCCTCTGAGGATCACTTCATAGACATCGCTGAGGTGGAAACGGGTCAGTACGACAACTTACCATGGTACATTCCATAAAAACACCAGCTTGGTTACATTTTCAGCTGCAGATTTTCCTTTAGATCCTTCTCTGATGTTTGTGTGTTGAACCGCAGTGCAGGATGTTATATATAAAACCAAAGCTTCAATCAGAGGAAGGTTTTCACAGCTTTTAAATTTCTTGAGATTTTTATTTTTCAGTCAAATATAATGCTCGTTTGTCCTTTGGGTCTGTGCAACAGAAACCCCTTCGAGGGACCTGCATTTTCAAAAGGATACGTTCATGCCTTGCCATGACTGGGTCCCACTTATCTGCTCTGATTTCACAGAAAATCCTTGAATGATATTAAAACAGTCCTTGTATTGGATTACCAGCTGAGAGTGGAAGCAACAACAAAGTAGATTTTTGTTTACATATTTATTATTTAGTTTTTAGAGCACATAACAAATGGAATCACCTTTAGCTGTGTTTTGCTGTGCTGTTGTGTAAGGGTGGATTTTTTCTTTATTGCTGATTTAGTGTTTTCTTTTAAGGAATTTGACACATCTTTCACTTCAGCAACTGTTTGTTTGTAGGAGAGAAGCTGTGGGAGGTTCAGTGTGATTCTCCAACCTTTACGGTGGCCTGGCACCCAAAACGGCCGCTGCTGGCCTATGCCTGTGACGACAAGGACGGCAAGTACGACAACAATCGAGAGGCGGGCACCGTCAAACTGTTTGGCCTCCCCAACGACTCCTAAGACATATCAGCTGTGTTGATGATGGGAAAACTAGTTTGAACAAAGCACCGCCTTTATGCCCAGAGGATGTTGCTGCTTGGCATTTAGCTTTTTGGCTTCAACTCCTGTTGCCACCAGCAGATGGTGCAGCTGTCCTAACCTTTCCTTTCAAACAACTGACCTCTGTTTTTATACATAGATAAAAACACAATTCCCAGTGCTGTAATATAACGTTATGTAAAATATGGATCGTTTTTATATTAAAACTAGTCTCTTTATAATTCTTGTGTGTCATAGTTGCTGAATTATTACCTAGTAATGAAGTTCTCCCAGGTGGTTATTCAGATGTTTAAGATGGTGTCTTTGGCTGGAATGGATTGTTTCATTCTAGCCTAGAAACTGAAACTTTACATGTGATCTGAAAGAATCTGCTGAGCTGATATCAGTGTTACACATGTACAGTATGTTAGTTTATTGCTGTAAAGGTCTTGAAGGGTTAAACAACTAGAACACAGCATTAAGGCTTAGTTTATGGTCTCTGTTAACTGGCCTTTAAGCAAATGTTTACAAGGGACCTTACACTGGACCCAGCTGAAAGTCTGAGCCTGAAAACACTCATTTAATTACTCTGGACCTTGAACCATCTCTGCTTCCTGCAGTGTGTGTGTGTGTGTGTGTTGGATACTAAAGGTAGGCAGGCAGGGGAGATGAAATAGACATGCACCGATCCAGCACGCATACAAAACTCCTCTTCTGTCGAATCAGTTGAGTCGATCCCCTGGTATTCGCAGGTGCAACCGAATGTGACGTCCCAACGACCTCCCTGATGGTCTCAGACATTGTTTATCGTAGCTGAGACTTTGTGAAGAGGTTGGTTAATATCATGGATGTGATTGCCATCGATCATCATGGGACAGTAAATACAATAAACCTGCCTGCAAGGCCTGTCTCATTGTGAAGGCAGCAATTATTTTCTGTTGTAGATCATTTCAGAGGTGTACTGATTTCAAACCACTAAGGCATCAATGTAATCTCTCTCTGTTCGACCACTGAGTCGCTGGTACGTTTTCACTTGTGGATCAACTCCCCTCATACCTGTGCACATTGATTACAAGACTCTCTTCTGTACATGGCAGTCTAAGATCACAGGACATGTACTGGTACCTGGTGCACAGGCTGAGACTGCTCCAAATTCATGGAGCATTTTACAAAACCAAATCAAACTAATGGCTTTGGGCTCACTGGCTAGTTTAAAAGGACTGTAAACTTACTGCAGCTTGATACCTTTTTGTCCTGTTCCTGTTCTTCTTGATTATTTTATGTTGTAATATTGTTAAATACCGTGCCCTGGTAAGATGAAGGTTAGATTACAAATAAACTGTCTTTAATATCCTCGAGTGCTCCCACTTCTAGATTAGGTAAGGTGATTTTGTGGACGTCCCACCTCGCGTCTTACAGGACTTTAAGGATCTGCTGCTGACGTCTTGATGTCAGATACAGAGGACACTCAGAGGTCTGTGGAGTCCAGGCCTCGACGGGTCAGAGCTGTTCTGGCAGCACAAGGGGGGTCCACATAGTATTAGGCGGTTTTAATGTTGTGGCTGACCACTGTATGCGACTCTACAGCTGTTGCATGCTCCACACACTTCACTTTGTCCACTGTTTGGTGCTGGGCAGGTGGTTTGTTAGAGCCACCTGCTGCTAATGAGAGCGCTGAGACTAAACGTTTTTAGATGGAGAACTACGCCCATGAGCTGACAGATGAACTAAAACGCCGCAGATAATGTCATTGTTGGTTTGTCACCACAAATGATTCCTTTCATATGCAAGTCTTAATCTCATGTTTTGTTCATTATTGCAGTTTTAATGGTCACAGGTTCACATGCTAACACGTGCTAACACGTGCTCTAGGTTAACATGTTGCCATGCTCTGTTAGCGTTGCTATCAAAGTACAGCAGAAGCAAACAGCCATGTGGTTATTAGTTTCAGAGGTATCCTGACAGAGGAAAATAAACTTTATGGTTTAGAAAGTGCAGTAATTAATGAGTATTTATCATCCACGTGTCTTGTTAGTAGTTTGACAGACTTGTTGATGGTTTGTTGTGTTTCTTATTAATGTGCCAGTATAGTAAACACATGCAGGGTGAAAGACCTGCACTTCCAGCCTAAATCAGGTTTCACTCAGATCAATATCCTCGTTCATAAAACAGCAGCTTTTTCCCAGGTGATCCTCTGTGCCACCGGATGTACTCCAGCAAGATGATCAATCCAGTCAGATACTAATGTTTTTAGACAAGGTGTGTGTATGTGTCAATGACACAATGTTTGTGTATTTACATATTCATCCATGGGTTTGTGTGTGGGAAGGGCAGCTGTGTACAGACAGATAATCAGACCCACTCGCCCATTTGCTTCAGTCAAATCTAATTACTCTCTGGGTCTGTTTAAGGGCACTTCCGCCATTCTGGCTAATTGCTGCACTGCATTGACCGCAGGCTTCCTGATTGATTTTTGGAGTTTTGGTGAGATAAGTGTCTGATGTTGAGCCATTCGCGCTCGCACTCTCTGCTTTCCTGAAGCTTAAGGGGAGGAAACCAACACAGCCAAAAGGCTATTTAAAACAAAACCATGTAAATACTCAACCTAATTTATTCAGTTGTTCTCACACAGTATGTTATTTATCACAATTTGTTTGTATTGTTATTACCTGGATCCTAAAATACTCTCCATCCAAATGGAAAAATATTCTGTGCATATAAAAGTATTTATTTGTTTTGTAAATGTATGAAACATATTAATACACGATTCTATGTGACAGAATACTGCAAAATAACTTTATAGACAATGGCACCTGATAGTAACTCTCCATTTTAGTGATCTGCCGTCCACTTCTACCTGCTGTCTTTGACTAAGACAGTCTGTGAACTATGAAAACAGCTCTGAAACTGTGCTTCAGCTTTCCGAGTGTAACTGGATAATCACCAGGCCCAAATGGAATCTGCACCTGCAGAATTCCAACAAGACAGCCACAGATTTTCTGCAGATTTTGAAAAGAAAGTAGAATGGCCGGTTGCGCGTCTCTGTCCAGTGCTTCTTTTTCATTCCTTGCACAACAATCTGTGACATGTCTCATGTCACCTTCCAGAGCTGCTCCCCTGTGTTGCCTGTGTGAACAGCTCAGGTTAATGTCTGTTAACAAAGATATTAATGTCTCCTGACCAGATTGTCTGAAAACTCACACTGTTATACCAACTCCCCCCCTTTTTTGCACAGTGGTCAGTCAGTAGTCTGCGTCTAAAGAAACTGAACATTGTATTTCAGTGGCCACGTGTCCTTACATTTTACTGTGGTGGAATTTCCAACAAATCATCATCATCATCTACAATTATCATTTTTCTCTGCCTGTGTAAACTAAAGAAAGCAGCATGTGTGTGCCCGGCAAACCTTTGCTGGATAAATAAAGTCAAAGAGTTTATCACAGACAACAAATAAGATGTTCAAGTTTGTGGTTTGGACCTCAGAATAAATAGCAATGAAGCAGATTAGTGCTTTAACTAGAAGTGCAGGAGTCAGAACGTTTCTTTGTGGAGAGTCAGAATCGCTGTCAGCGGATACCCTGCATAAAGACAGAAAGCAGGGAGACACATGAGCAGAGACAGCAGTAGAAAGTAAAGAGAGAGAAGAACAATAGAGGCAGAGAAAAATGCCTGTAGCAGCATCCATCTTATAGTCGCCTACAACTTGCAGATTGAAAACCTAACCTAGTCATGCTGTTCATTTGCTCAGTCTGAAAACTGCAGTTCATCTGGGTTTATTTCCCTTCTAAAATAAGCTAATGAGCAGGACCAAGGGGATGCCAGTTACTGGATTATTATTTTTTTTACTCATTAACGTGGTTTTCAATGAAGTAAATTATGGATTTTTCAAAAAATAGTGAAAAATGACTTCTTTGAGTGTCTAATAAATAGTCCACTGGCCAAAATATTAATTTTACAATTATATAGTACAGAGAAAAGCAACAAATACTCACATTTGAGAATCTGAATTAAGATAATGTTTGGCATTTTTAGTCAAGACTTTTCCTGGAGCACCTGCTGGTTTTGAGTAAAACAGCTCAATAAATGGATGGCATCAAATTTTGTCCAGACATTCATGGTGATTTTCTGACCTTTTCTCTAGCACCCTGCTCCACTACGCTCTACTACAACCTGCTACGTCCCACCACACTCTGCCCAGCTCTTCACATATTAGTGGTTATGATCAAGCAGAAATAAGTGAAGATCACTGACTGGTCAGAGATGTCAGTCCTGCTCCAAACCTCTCAGAAGCTCCTATCTCTGCACTGCTGCCAGTGCTGTTCAGTGAGTCTGGGTCACAGGAGGCTTCAGCAGCACCTCTCCACATTAAGACAAGTGTGAAAATGGATGCAGCCAAAATGTTTTTGCTAAAGACAGAAACATGCTAACACTAACATGAAAATGCTCATCATAGGGTCTGTTGTAACGTCTGCAGCTGCAGCTG